CCAAAAATGACAAAAATATTCACCAAAATTAGAGAATTAAAGATATCAACATGAAATGAACAAACCTAAGAGAGGTCTACCCAAGGTACATATACACCAAGTATCAAAGCATTTAGGCTTGTAGTTTTCAAGAAGAAGTCGAAAAAGTAAAACATTGACACGGACGACGACGACGACGGACAATCACTCATATGATAAGCTCCGCTCGACAAAGTCGACAGCGGAGCTAAAAAAAGGAGTTTGTGACGTGAAATATTAACTCAGGATAATTATGAAAAGGTCATCAACAGATGTGATTTTGGCTTGAGCAGACTGGGTACAGTTAATGTCTCACCTCTGTCTCGCGCAATTATTTATAGCTTTTTTGACAAATGCTGAAAGTCCATCGAAAAGAGGCTTTAGACATCACCTACTGTAAAATCTGTATTAGAAGCTGCGGTTCTATTAAAATGGTACAATGCAACAGAGGGGATGTGGTTTCTATAAGAACATCTACACATATGAGAAATGAAAAATTTTGGGTTGTCAATTGTTCAAATAAAATGGGTGCGACTTCCATTAGGGATACAGCTTCTAATACAGATCTTACAGTACTAATTTGTTAGTTTGTTTTCTACTCACCACAATGGAATGAACTGCTCCTATCCGAGCACATGCTAACATAGCAACTACCAATTCTATAATCATCGGCATATAGATAGCGACATTGTCACCTTTCTTGACGCCTGAGATGAAAAAATAAATTAACAAACAATTCTGAGTATTCTTTTTTGATTGAATGTACTTTTTTTCAACATATTGTGATGCTTGTTGTAGAACCAAATTAAGTCTGTTCCCTGAGTCTTGAATTAAAGCGACAACTGAAATAGAGACTTTATGTTAACTATAATTACCACAGTCTCTCACTCTTCAGTAGCACAAAGTGCATGAAGGTTGTTCCTGATGTATAGACAGATTGAAATCAGTTTATTGTACAGTGGGCTAAGTTTCAAGATGGTTTCTGAATTCTTGTTTTCAAAATCTCTGTCATAAAATTTGTCCTCTGCTATAACGCTCAGTTGTGTTTTCCTTGCAGCATTTAATAATAATACTAAATAGGCAAGTTTATTATCTAAAAAGTGCAAATTATTTATCTATAGCGTTAGAAAGAAATTCTTAGTGCATGAAATGGATCAAATGAATACAATGTAATCTTAAACTTAATCTTTAATGCATGATTTGAGTACCTTCCAACTATAAGATAACATCAAACATGACTGCCCAGATGAAAAAAAAAAGTGATACACCTGGCCAGACATTAAATGCATTAAAAATATACCCTGAAATTTATTTTGATATAATCTATTTAAATACATTTAAATACATCTGTGAGAAGCAGTGTCTCAATATTACCAATATAATGCTCATCATCTAATGATGTATGTATTCATAATTGAGATTGTGACAGGGTCTAAGGACTAATCAAAACTAACAATATTTGAAATAGTTGAGAGGCTCAATTCAATCAAGTTTATCAAATAATGCCATAAAGTACAGTCATATACATCTATTTTATGTAAACAGTGAGATATCCTTGAATAATGAATGAATGGGATGCAATGCTATTTGAATATTACCGTATTTTCTCTATTAGTAGCACATCTGCTAACATGAATTACAGAGATGTTTCTATGGTCAAAGTAAGTGATATTTTAATAATTGACCACACAACCAATGCAATTCTTGGTATATAGGTGCTTATATTGGAGATGCACTTCTAATAGAGAAATTATGGTATTGAGTTTCAGCATAATGTTAAACAAATCAATATTATTTTAATTTTAAAAGATGGTGGATGTTTGCACAGACCACGTTTCAGTTTTGTGTATTATTTATATGTTATATTGAATCCATATTGAACCCTACATGGTGTGAAAACAATCGCATTTTTATAATCACAATACAATTCAATCAAACATAATTCATTGATTTGTACGTTAAGAGAGGAACTCTGAGATTATTTCTAAATTTGTGGTGCCTTATGAATCTGCATGGCTTGTAGGAAATACCAACTAAGTGTTCAAATGTCAATGATTTTTAGCATATAAAAATGTTTGTGATCATTCTGAAGTCCAAGATGCATATGGATTCAACTCTATTCTAAATTACTATGGTTCATGAAAATAGTTACATAATATGATGGTGGTAGAAACTTATTATCAAATTGCTCACACAAATTCCAGGAAAAACAAACACTATGGTGTGAATAGTAATCAAAGTAAAAAGAGGATAACATTTCAGTACAATTCATATTAAAATGCAGATAATAATGAATATATATGTTACCTTGACTTTTTAACACGTTAGCGAATTTACAGACAGACTTGAGTAATTCACTGTAGGTTATTTTGGAACTATCGTCAGGATCATTGCCTTCCCTGAAATTAAATGAAAAATAAAATTAGATAAAATGAAAATATGGTGTGGAACGATGTTATTCTCGCCGGGAGCGAATATCTGAGCATTTTAAACTGCCTGGCAACAAGCGGTGAAAACAACGGTCTAAAACTCTAAAAAAAAAAAAAGTGAATTGGGCTATTTGTTGAGTTTCACTGGCTCTTCAACTGGTGTTCCACAGCAGCTAACACAGAGCCCACAGAAATTCTGTCTCTTAGCAACAAAAAAAGAATATTAATTAGTTTGAGCTTTTGATGATCACTTTAGTGATACCGTATTTGCTCCATTAGTAGCTCATGCACTATAATGCAAATAAAACCAGTACATGTATCTATGGTCAAAATAAGTCACATCTTAATTATCCAAAATATGAACACATTTGATGATATACATTGTATTTGCTCTTTCTAAAAATAAATAAGTACAATACAGTAAATCAGCAAATATATTGAAAATTTGGTACGATGACATATTTTTGTTTTTTAAGCAGCTTGCCGTTCTTTAACCAAACCTGTTACCAGTCACCAATGGAGAATTAATTTACATTCCACAAAACACAATATGACAATTTCTCCACCAATTTTAAACCATGAAATATACAAATGAAAACAACGTTTAGAAGAGTGTCACCACCCACAGAAAAGTTATTTTAACATCACAGTATAAATGTTATAAATCAATAATTTCAACTTATTTTTTGCACATGTAGTATATTACTAATATGAGACATATTTGGGCAAATTACTCTGCATAATTTAGATATCTGTCTCATATTTGTAACATTAAATTTGGTAATTCCTACAAAAAAAAGTTAAAATCATTGAAGTTTTCATGAATGGGCAAAGCCAACTTGGAAGTTAAGTTACACCCGGACTATCTATATTACACATACAAATGAAACAGCATTATGTCTCAGCAGTGCTTTATTTGAGAGCTGTACTAATCACTCACATTGAAGTCTGAATCTCTACATGTTGCGAATACCAAACAGGCTTTCTGTGCGACACTTTGAGGCGCCAAGAGTTAAACGGGGTTAACGAACGTCATTTCAAGCGAATTGATATGGCTTACATAAAATGGATGGTTGAATTTTATCAGTCCAATTGATTAGTCAGCCACTTAAGTCACAGACAGCGAAGCTATTAAGTCTCGGAAAGACCACAACGACAGATCGTTTTAATCAGTATTAAACACAGCAGATGAGGTAAAGTATGTGGTATATACAGCAGGTTGTATTCTTTGCATGTGTTTCAGATGTTTAGACATAAAAATATTGTGGTCATCGGAAAATAATTTTGTCTTGAAATTGGCAGAATATTAATTTTTTCTTTGCTTTTCATTAATTATATATACGGTCTACGTGAATAGAGGATTTTCCGTACAATTGCGAGATCTCGCGAGATGCATGAAAGACGCGCGTCGAACGTCTGCCGCAAAAATCGAACGATTTGATTTCGAACTCAAATTTCCTTATTTCGTAGCTCACACCGACCGGCCGATCTTCGACAGAGGAATATTGCTTTCGAATACCCTTACTTAATCGAAATTGTCTATCATCAAATGTGGACAGCACATTATTAAGCAAGGAAATGTCCCCAAAATACTTTCGCGTTTGTCGAATCCCACGCGATGTTTGACGTCACTACGACGCTATGACCTTTGTTTGTCCTGTTTTTACGTTCGAATTCACGCATAACGCGTGATTCTCGCAGTGTACAGAAAATGGTCTATTACTGAGGAAAATATTTCACAACAGTAAGGAAAAGTTATTTTGGGCTATTGATAAGAATCCTTAAAAACGTTTTACCATTGTTAAGCAATTTCTACAATGATTGGACAATGCCACTCATAGCCCATCATTGAGAAAATTTTGTTCCTGCATGATTTTCAGGCTCATTTTATCAGAAACCACAGAAATTGGGAGATTCGGACTCAATAACAGCCTTGGTGAGTTTATAGTGAACTCATATAAAAGGAATAGCAATGAAAGTAAGTGGCAGATTCTGAAGTAAACACAACTCCCTATAGGACAAAAAGAAATGGCTGTAGTTAAATTAACTTGGAATACTGGCATTTGTCTGACAAGAAAGGAGTTAATACGTCTTTCAAATTAGCCAGATAAAAAGCTTATCTTAGAGGCCACACAATATAATTCTTTAGTTTACAAATTGCCTCAATCAATTACCAACATCAACACAGTTATTACAATTTTTTTTTTTTATATAGATATCATATGTGACATATCTGAATGTAAAACTTATTAATAATCATAGCTTGTTAAACTCAACCAAATCAAACATTTTTTCAATCACACAGATTTACAGAAAAATATTTTTTTCATACAGTACAATACGCAGTGATATATTGCGACTGAAAGCACACAAAGTCTGAGCTCATGTAAATTTGGTTTCTGGGAAATCCAATTTACCCAGATACTGTTTCACAGACAAGTAATATGTACATAGTAATTTCAAAGCAATTTATAATTTAACGAAAATCATACGCATTAATTAAATATAACAGTTTGTATGATTTATGGACAATATTGCATGTACATTAATGGCATGTACATTGTACGTGTACAAATTATTTCTACTATAGTTGTACACCCTTTTTGAATTTTGGGTCAACCCATTTTTTGTATTCAATCTTTATTAGGATTTTAAATCAGGTCTACCAATCACGAAATAGGCGCAAACCTCCTAAAGTTGAGTACAGTCACAAAATAAATTTAACTGAAGCGGAATCTGGGATTGGTTGAAAAAAAAAACATTCCAGTGGAGGGAGGGGGGGGGGGATTTTGCAACTAATAAAACAGTCACAGAATATCAAACAGACTATATAACATGATGTATATTCTGAAAGGAATAATAAATTCTAGAAAAACATAATTATGTGTTTGAGAGCAAGGTAAAGAAAAAAATATTTAGAGGAGGGGCACAGACCTACATGTAGGTGTACCATTATACATCAGAAATGCATTTACCGGTAGGTATAGACTATAAAACACTGAACAGGGTTTTTTAGCGGCGCCACCAAGTGGGGGAGATAGGGTTCTCCTTACCAGGGTGTGAAGTTTTTAATAATTCTAAGTTAAAATGGAGCATTCTATGGCCTCCTTGGGGCCAAAATTACTATCAGACAGGTCACAGTTGAAGACAGTGGTCACATGTGATCCCTGGTCAATCAGAATTTTATGGTTGCCAGAGGATCTGCTCCCCAGGGTATGGGTGATGGCACTGCACCCCTGTTCCCTTGTTTAAAAAAATCCCTGTCTGAAATCAGTGAGCTGCAATTAGTCTAAAACACATTTTTCCGTAATTTGTAGTTTTGTGCACAATTAAAGAGTTTCTTTGCTATAGATGAAGTTGCTGAATTTTTCCTAGACTTATCTGGACTATAGCATATTCGTTTCCGAGCCCCCTCCTCTTCTCCTAAAGTCCTCACTGCCTTAAACTGGGTACATTGTAATTTCAATCCAAGAAAACTCTAAGGAATTACATTAACTGACAAGTGAATACAAATTAGATTGTTATCATAGCAATCGTAACATAACAACTGGTAAGTGACTAAATTGAATTAACTGAATTTTCCGTGTTTTTCAATTACTCTAGGCAAAAGGAAAGCAAGGTTAAGATATATGTCCTAACTTTTTCATCACCAGACTTTCTCACCCAAATTTTTTCTGCACTTTTTTTCTTATATTCTTCAATATTTCTGGAAATAAAACTGAGATTTGAGTCAATTTTCAGTTTTAACTCGAAAAATGTGTCAAGGAAAATGCAGACTATAAACAGGACCATTTTGTGAATTTGTAATGAAAGAAGCGATCTGGCGGTGAAAAGGTTAAAATACAAGCCTACTCATACTATTTTGTAATAAATTATACTGCCAGCCAACAAGAGGATGCTGATCTGAAAAAAAAGCTTGGGAATTACCAGCTTATTTTTCAGGAAAATTATGCTTATATTTTAGTGAATGGCAGCTATTTTGTCCTCTAACAATTTCAAAAATTTGAGTTTAAAAAACTATAATATTTTTCAAATTTTCTGAAAACATGGTACTGTAAAACGCAACAAAATATTATTTACTGTAATGAACATTATCATTCAATTTATGACCAACTTTCTAAAAAATTAGAAGTAGACTTCTATATAGGCATTCTGATATTTAAAAAAAAAAGGTGAAGAAACCAAAATTATTGTAAAATATATATAAAATATATGCCTCCAAAAATTCATCATCAAATAATTAACAAGACAACACTGTAACATTGAAAATGTTATATGAAAACAACACCTTTATAAAATTGAATATTTTTGGTTCATGCATGAGACCCATTGATGTGATTGATGCTATAAAACCACAGCGTGTCTTTATAAAATCCAATTACTAAAGTCATGCATAAAAAAAATAAATCAAATTTACATACTAGTATCATGTGATTGGGGCTCATAGTACGAATGGGTAATGTTCTAAGTGTTTTATTTGAGAGCTGATTCAGTCAATGACTGTTACATGCTGATGACATTAGTACTGTCACACTGATTAACACCTTGAGAAAAAAGACAATCATTTGACAATGACATGGGATGTGTATTTCTCCTCTCAACATCACGATGTGACAAATCCTCCAGGCCAACTGATAACTGAATGTCAGAGAGAAATTTTGTAGCAATGAAAATTTCCTGAGGTTCACTATAGATGAGTAATTCAAGATTTGTTATGAGATTAACGACTCTTAACAACATTAAATCAGTTTCAAACATTAGAAACTCAAACTGTGTAGTATTCATTAAATCCAACCACAGCAAAGTATTGCATGTCACCAGTATCAAGAAATTATCTCTTGAAAACACTAATGTATTCATAGTTCAAGTTTCTCATCAGTGTACAAGACAACCAGGCAGGTAACTTTCAAATTCAACTAGCCCTGCATTCAAGATTATTTTCAAAATACTTCCATTCTCATTCTCAACATGTTGTCGAAAAACAAATTTAAATTTCCCATTTTAAATTTTATGATCTTTGTATCAGCCATCAAAGAAGGATAGCGATCAACTTTATCCAATATTATTATTTAGTATAATTGCATTTTTAACATTGTTATTGAATCAGAATTTATTTTCAAGACTACTTGATATGTAAATTTTTTACCAGTCTGACTGAAAAGTCACCCGCCTCAGGCATACGAATGGGCAGTAATTTTAAACAGTGCTCTCATCGAAACAAAACTGTTTCCATGTATTTGTTTCTTAATCAGTTGAATTAATTATTACACCATATTTACTCTATTACAAGCACAACTCTAATAGAAGCACACAAAAACCAAAATTGCAATTATTGTAGGCTAGATCATTAATAAAATATATTCACAATGTAACATTAAACTCAATCATGAGAAAGAAATCAACAGGTTGGGGTTGGTGACCACTAAAACAATAACATGACTCAAAATTAACAGTAGCCTAAGCCTAAGTTGTCAAATCCAAATACTATAAAATGACTAATTTTCACTGGGTTTAAATTTTGCTGATTTACTATTTCAGGCATATTCAGTGGGTTTTAAATTCACAGTTTTATCATTTAGATAATGTGTTCTATGCTAAATTTTACATATTCACTAGGTTTTAATTTAGCGCATTTTCCAGTAATTTGTTATTTGTTTATATTTGTTAAGAAAAATTGCAAGCTAGCTAGCTAGAAACAGACAGAAAAAAGGATGCATGCAAGGTGTTACAGAGAAATCATGTTGGTACATACATTTGTATAACATAAGAATGTTCAGACAAAAAAATTGCACTTGTGAATGTCATGCTTTTCCAAGCCATCCATACCCCTGATTGACCCTCTTACTTCAAACCTGCCTATTAGCTGGATTTACTTTTTTATGAAAACTTACAATTTTGTTAAGGAGTCAGTGTTATTGTCATCAATGATTTCAACTTGTTCTATTTAATGTTTACCTATAAATACATATTTTTACGGTATGTTTGTTTTTAATTTTTATGGTATGATGACCAATCACTGAATTTATTAATTATATATTATGTTATTTTTCGAAGTAGTAAACATGTTTTTAACACGAACTGAGAGTTGACACACAGCAATAATTACAGGTGATGATCTGTTTGACAACAAACAACAACGACAATGTCAATGTAGCAGAACCGAACCAGGAAGTGACTGGAGGTGAAGAAACAGAGAAGCGTCGGTCACTGGTACAATGGATTTCCTATTATTTGCCGTTCCATTGAATCCAGAGGCGTTCCCGCTCATCGTATAGTGTGAAACCGTCGGTGTAGTAAATACTAATGGTTTGACAAGCGACATACATTTCATGACCCGTAAATTCTTTGTTTACACGTGGCGGGTATCAGATATGATCGGATATGCGGCAACAAGGGCACACACAACTCGGTGACGGTACTTACCAGAAGAAAGCTACCTGATCTCCGAGACCTTTTTCATTCACATTACGATCTAAAACATTATAACAAATGTTTGTGACAGCTCCCTTCATCCATTTAACGTCAATTTTTCCTTTGCTGACATCGAAATTGTATTCCAGTATCTTGCCGGTCGGTGGCGTTTTCCAATAGAAATCTTTTGCAATCTTCCCCCAAAACTCGTCCGGGTTGTCCATAGATTGCTTATACATCTCTTTGTATTTCTCCATAGAAGATATGTGCGCATTTTTCTGGAAATCCGCATTTGGCTTGTAGAGAGCATGCAACTCGGCTTGGTGATCGGCCATTTTGGAAGCAGAATGCAGAAAGCAGAAAGGGTGTAGGAACAGCCGTTTACTCCCTCTGGAGAAATCACGCTGATCTAAAATATTTTCAATAATCTGGATATTTGAACAGAATAATTAAAATTAATATCAGCCAACCTGTTACACACAATTTCAAATAAAGATTAGCATATCAGTAAAAATATATTGATATTATTCTTCAATGATTTATATTTTAACACATGACCACAAGCTGGCGCTGTTTACGGGGTCGTTTATGAATGAAGACGATGGGCGTGTCCCTCCGTGCAGGAAAGTAGTCTTGTGATTGGATGGCCTTGATGAGGCGACCCTGGCTACGACATACATTATATGTGTACTTGTTTCTAACTGAATACCATGGGCCCCGGGCATGGGCCACACAGTTGGATGTCTCGATGATCAGTTATTCAATAACACTGGGCCAATAACGAACATAATAGGAGCAAGTATTTAGTTTTTGAATTGAAACAAATTATATATATCATTGTGAAAAAAAGAAAGAAATAATTTCTCTAATACACACTTGATTTCCTTGGTTATCAAAGGTTATACGATTTAGAGTATTTGGAAATAGTTCTGCAATTATAAAACTATTAACGTTTCTGGATGCCATCATTTTAGTTTTTTTTTTCAAAACCAAACCTATATTATATACTGCCCTCAAGAGGCAATTTCAGTGTTTCCTTTGTTTTTATTCAGGAAAGGGTTATACTAGTAGTTGGTGGGATTAATATTCGGCAGTGGAATATAAGAAAGTCAATTCCGACACCAACGCTGTACATACAATGCTCTGTTAAACGAGATATGATCTTGTCACACTGTGTGATACATGGTGAATATACATGTATTGAGTTATGTTTCAGAGTGGACTAATCCTGGCGTTGTTAATTACAATGTCAATTTAATTTCTTCACACGTTGCAATAGAGGGGAAATGTCATTCTCTGTGACTGCACCAAAGAAACATGGAAAGAAGCATCATTAAATCAAAAGAGACTGACCTGCGATATTTGAAGAAGCACATAATTGTGTCCGATGTGGGTCCCATGTTACATATACATTTGTAAAATACTAACATTTACACAAATTTTGAATGTACACTGCATGACTGAACAAGGCTGGTGTTGCTGCCCTACATCCCAGGGGGCATAAAGGGCAGTGAATTACAGGAAATGCAATGCAATGTACAATCAAATTTACCATAATTTATATTTATTGATAGATTTACCGTAAATGGCTTGTATGTTTCTCTACATTCAGAAATCAGGTGAAAATATGACTGAGAATCTTGTGACAGCGAGTCACATATAGTTGCAAAAAAATACTTATTGAGTAGCAATTATATAAATTATCATCTACCTTGTATTGCCCTGCCTAGCAACGCTATGGGAAGTGCGCCCTCACATCAGGGCAATAATTTTTCATATCACGCGCTGCCCAGCAGGGTTTCATCAATCAAAACAAAGCACGTCATTCTAAATTATGTTGTGTGTTTGAGGTCATGCCAAGGTAAAATTATAGTTACACATATAAGGTATATGATAAAACCTTTATGGACTGGCTACAGCTTATGTTGCCCTTGGTCGTATGGCTTATTCGTCCTCACAAGCTTGGCGCTTCAGCTGCATGACCGAGGAGCACAAAGGTCGTATTCACTCTATAAAGATTGAAACATACCAGTACAAACCATCATTTGCTTTTTGCATGACCTCTGTAGCTCGAAGTATTTTCCTTGGGGGGAATGCAAGTTCAAGTTGAGAATTTTTGGAAACGGTTATAACGATAACAATACCCCCCAAATATGCCAGGATGTATAACTTTATGAATGCATAGATATCAGCAATTATACATAGCATTATATATCAAATTGTGTTAAAAAATTATGACTTTATTCAATTAATGATGAGTAAAGCCAGTATATTCATTCAATATGTGCACATTGAAGATTGGTATCACAAAGTCATAGAAACAAAGGCATTAGAAAACACAGCAACAGGCAACTGCAACAAACATCAAGAAGTAGACGCTGTTTCGTAAAACAGTTAATATCAATTCTGTTGAAAAACTACAACAGGTAGTTTCGGTTTTACTGCTCATAATGTGTTGTGTAGATAGATATCTTTGTTTTGAAATTCATCCATCGTAAAACTTAGTTATCTTTTTCTTGGATTCAACTACATATATGACGCTGCACTGTAAATAAATTAATTGCATGTCAATATCACATTTGAATCCTAAGCGATGTTACTTCAAAGAAAATACATGTCGTCAGTCCCTATGTTCTCAAATGATATTGGTTGAATTATACTGCAATTAGTGCACAGTTTATTCACGATAACTTTTCTATTATGCAAATATTTATACAATTGATATCGTAATAAATGTCTAGTACATCACTAATGTGAATACATCGATAAGATATTATTATACACATAATTCATATTGTCAAAATTATTTCCACACAATCTTTCAAACTTTTTAAAATAAATACAGATATTTTCAATTACATCTAAGAGCATTTACTAAATTATAAATTATAAATTTCAAAGAGTGAAAATAAATCTTAATAACAGTTGTGTCAGAGTCTTATAAAAGTAACTGCCTGGGATAATCAGATGGAAAGTTTTAGGGATAGTTTTATTTAATTGCATTGGTAGCTGTCATAAATGCGTACGCAATGTATTTGCTTCATTAGTGGTGTACTTGTATGTGTAAATGGCAAAGACGAATCTATGAACCAAGTAAATCATATTATTATAATGATTAGGCGTGCAATAAAAAAAAATGTTGATATCTTAAAAGCCGGGATTTGTAAATCTCATATCTTGGAATACTACAATGTTTTTACATGTACTGTAAAATACTTTATTTTAGCTGGAATTTATTTTCACTGATTTCTGACTAGTTGCATGTGAAATATAGGAAAAGGTATATTCATTGGAATATATTTTCACTGAATCAGCCAGCCCTTCAGTGAAAATTAGCAAAAATAAATTTGAGTAGAAAATACCAAATGAATATACATGTATACTGATGCTGATGCTATGGAAAGCCCTTACACGGTATTTGGAAAGTACAAAGATACAGGCATGATGTAAGGTCTTTGTACAGACACCAAAAGTAGGTAAAAGGAGTACCAGGTAGAGTAGTTCCAATTTTCGTTTATTTTCATCTTTTCAATAACTTTGGTACTGTTAAAATTAAAGCTGAACTAAATTTAATAATGTTATAACAACTATTTCACACATAATTATGTGTGTATATTTGCCAGGCAAAACAGATGAATGGTTTTTCCCATATGTACTCGTTGGTTACATGTGACATCACTGTTTGATGTGGCAAAATGAGCCTGTGTAATCAGTGTATTTTCTAGGAGTCTACCAAGCTAAACACTAAATCAAATTTTTTCGATATCAATCTTTTTCAGTAGTAGTCATCCAATCATAAAAATATTATTTTCAAACTTTTGATATATTCTAAATAACAAGTGTCTATGCAACAAAAAAAACAATACACTTCACCCATCTACATTACTTCACTTGAAAGCTCTAGTTATTTGCTTTGCTGCTAGCTTGCAGCATGTATTAATGTATTTCACCAATCAGCCTTGGATGTAAATGGCAGTCGAGATCTCATTTAGAGTGAGAATGGTACAAGAATTGTTTTTGTCTGTCGAATAGTGTTTTGGAGCAGTGAATGCAATGCAATGATGATAGAATATGATGGGAAAAACATATATCAATTGGTTAAATATACCATTCCCAATGCAGAGGGGCAAATATTCAGTACTGGTAGGTTTAATTTTAGTAGATTTTATGTTACACTGACATTTACTAAGTTATAAATTCAATGATTTATGGAGGACACAATATATTCAATTGTCTGGATTTTAATTTAGTGCCTTTTACAATCAGTGAAAATAAGCACAGCTAATAAAGAAGACATATATAGTATGCCAAAAAAAATATATTATTAAACATAAACAACCCTTGAAACAAAAATGCCTCACTAAATTATTTTCAAATCTTTGTATTACCAAAACAAATTTGAGTTAAATTGTGATATACACAACCACCGGCACTGGATAGCTCGCAATGACCCCAGAAGAAACAGAGAGTATATTTGAAATGATCATGTGTTACTGACAGATAACACTAACATAGTCTTACTACTCTACTGCACATGCATCCACTATGGTGACACCAATATTACAGACAGGGAAAGCCCTTGTATTATAGTGAAATATCCAGCGATCTTCCTTTGTTTTGTACTCCAACACCTGCCCTAATCTACCAACATCACGATGCGCAGCGATGATGAAGACATCGTTGTTAATCACGGCACACTTGATGTTTCTGAGTTTCCACGGTAACTTAGCAACCATTTTCCAGCTGTTTAGCTTTGGATCATAGCATTCCACCGAATCGTGTGTCCCGTGTTCGTCGTATCCTCCAATAGCATAAATCAGGCCATTGGTGACAGCCAAACCTAAACCACGGCGTGGAACCTGCATTGGTGCAATCTCCGCCCATCGATTGTTCATCAGCAGGTTTGGTCCACTGTAGAATTTCTCACAGCTCTTCAGAGGTCGACCATTACAACCACCACCGCTACCCCCACCACAGACATACAACCAACCATTGTATTCCACCATAGCATGGTCAAATCTAGCATAAAACATGGGCTGTCTTGAGGTCCATGTTTTAAGTTTAGGATCATAGCAGTCTGTTGCTTTCAGAGCTGTACTTCCTAAATAATACAGGAAAAAAAGACATCAGTTAAATCTCAATGTATTCACGGTAAAAAAGCAATTGTATCTGAGCACAAAAACAATATTCAACCCTTGTACAGCAAGATTTGTATTCCAATAAAACGCTTTGCGGATTGCTGTGGACAGAAATAATCTATCTCTATGGTAATGTGGCCATTAAAATTTAGGCGTTAACTATGAATTGTAACTGTTCACTGAAGTGCCAATGTAATTACATACATCTAGAAAGCCTGCTCATCAAGTGCTTAACAACCAATTTATTTACAATACTGTGAAATACTTTATTTTAGCTGGAATTAATTTTCACTGAAAAAACTTTTTGGCTGTTTTGTGTGAATTTTTGACGAGTTGAATGTAAAATATAGGAAAAAAGTATATTCGCTGGATTTTATTTTCACTAAATCATTCCTTCAGCGAAAATAGCGAAAATTAATTCTAAGCAAAAATAAAGTATTTTACAGTATTACATATATCAGTGATTAACAAGTGGCCATTCATTTTGTCTCTATCCTTGACTTTGTGTAGGTTTTCTAAGAAATCTTGACACATTCATGTACACTGTATGTCAGAAATTATTATAAATTTGGCATAGGAACATACTTATAGTAAAGGGTGGATCCAGCATTTGATTGACCTTGGTTGTTTCCATGTGAAAAAGTAGTTGTCTGATTTTAGGGAGTTTGTACAGACCCAATGTAACACCCCTCCACCCCCTCTGTATTCACCCCTGACAATTGTATTGATCATATATTGAAAATGCCTTTTTTCAAAGTCTATAAAAACAAATATGGTTAATCTGTGGAAGGTGGCAATAGCACTTATACAAGTCAACATGGCAGCAGTGTTTCAGCCAACCACTCATCCAACAATACTTAATTTTATAACAGTAATAAATACATCATGTAATCTTAGTATAGTAATATGTGACAAGAAAGATGATATTTTTTACTTTGTTTTCTCTGATAATAATGAATGAAATTCAAAATTTATAGTGACAGTTCTTTGTTTTATTTTGCATGGTTAAATTATTGCATGGACGCGTTTCTCGAAAGTTAGTTACTGTAGATGATTTTTATCTCAAACAGCTGGAATTTATTTTTCAGTTGTTACAGCTGCAGTGAAAATGGCATAAATAAAAAAAAAAGCAAAAAAAATAAATAATTTGTTTCTGTTCAGTCCACATATTAATTCAAGAGGCCCAAACTGGAAACAAATCATATTTTTTTTTTAGGTATAGTGACTCACCATGACTTTGGCTGCCTCCAGTTATATACAGCAGTCCTTTACACGCACATGCAGCAAGACAATCTCGCGCTGACTCAAATTTCTCAGCCAGTGAAAAATAAGTCTTTGTGGCTACATTGTAACAGTCAACACGTGTCAATGGAAATAAATATGACCCTCCAACAATATAAACGATATTATCAATGCAGGCCACGGCATGGTCCCTCCGTTTCTCAGGCATACTTGGAATCGACTTCCAGGCTCTAGAGTGGGTGTTGAAGAACTGACATGTGTCACTCTCAGAACCTCCGAACACGGCAATCTGCCAGTCAAATTTCTTCGCTCTTGGTTTGACTGGTGTGGCTGTTATTTTATCCCGATCAGTTCGGTCCAACAAGTGATGTTTCATTCCATTCACAAGCATTTTCAAACACACTGTGTCATCTTGCATGGTTTCGTCTTCCTCCACGACCGTGCTTAAATAGTTCCGAGTGATCAATGGGAAACGAATTTTAGCAAATATTTCAGTGCGTAATTGCATTCGTTTGTCCTTTCTGTGCTTTATCCAGTTTACCGCAGCGTCAAAGACTTCATCTTCACATCTTACTACCAGCTCGTCTTTCGAAAGATACTCAGTGACCTGCTCCATACTCAAATCAAGGAACTCCTCACATTTTGAAACATCGGTAAAACTCTCATAGGAAAATTTAACAGCTTCAGAATACAATTCTGTACAGTTCAAGAAATTTGCAAAGTCCCGAATTCCAAGACAGTTTTCAGGACTCAATTCTTGACGTAAAAAATCAGCACACTGATTTTTCACTTGCGTAATCTGGAACCGGTTTGCAGCAGACATTATTGCTTGGACGTTCTCCGAAGTGAGATCCACGTCCCCGGTGTACGCGAACTCAACAAGCAATTCCATTGTTGCTAAATCCACTTCTTTTAGTTCAACCTCGGCAGTCTTGGATTCGGTATACTTTGACGTAAACATAGCATGGAAAAATGCGCTGCATGCAGACAGGACCACCCTATGAGCTGAAATAGGTTTGCCTTCTAATATCAATTGTACATCGCATAACTGCTTGTTTTTACGCATAGCATTCATAGCCAGCATGAAGTCAGCTTGCCTCCTCATAGCAACTGTTCTTAAACCTGGAGACAATTCATCACTTTTCAATTCCGGTAGAGGTGATGACGATGATAAACCCAAGACTATTGGGGATGAAGGCCCAGGAAGATTTCTACACTTGAAATTAAACATTTTGTGGCTGAAATATACAAAGAAAAAAACAACAAAGTAGTTTAGAAAACAGTTGTCAACAATTTCATTACAGTGAATGTCCACAAACTTCATAAATTTTTCCAAAATATTAATCAAGGAAACTAGTTCTACCATATCTGTAAGCACATCATGTATGTCTACAATTCAAATATTAAAGACTCATTTTAACGACCCAGCACGCAATTATTATAGGAAATTTGTTGGTGAGCATGAGTGTCCTCCTATAGCAAGTACATTGCATAACAAGAAATTATGAAAAATTATCGGTAAAATTATGGCGTTCGAATCACACTTTCACACTTTGAAATTTTCGTAAGGTTAAGGCATTTTAATGTTTTGTTAGATAAATTGGTGGCCTGGTGTCCTCCCTGTTGCAATTTTTACAAGGTAACTTGTCAGTATTAGTAGATTCGAGCACTGGACTGATATAACATCACAAAATATTATCAGCACTTGGACATTATTCAGTCAGCTGCAGTAAACAACAATTCAAAAGTTAATCAGCTAATCCTTGTCTTTCGTTTTGTTTTTATTTTGGCTTCGTTGATTATACATACCAAAAAAGAAGTGTAACATTTTCGTTACGTTTTCAATAAAAACACTCTATTCAATTTCTACTCATGTTAGATAACGCAGTGGAATACTGTGTCATCAAGGGCGTGAGCTGTGAAATTAATGTCAAGCGTCTGTACCGTACGTACGAACGGAGATGATCGAGGGTTGTAGATAGAATTTAACAGATGTAACAAGAGTGGGCTCCAACTTGCATGAATTTATACAACCTCCCTGTGTCAGATTTGTCAACAAAGACCAAATTAAGTTGATTCTGCCTTAGATGAGTATTATATGTGTCACTGATTAGTAATCAAACAACGGTATACAAAATACATAGCATTACCTGGCCTGGAGTTTGAGGTCAAACGTCTTGTCTAAAAAAAATACAAATCGTTTCACACTATTGATGTGTTCGTGCCGCCATCTTGGAAATTACGCTTACCGCAAGAGGGCGCTCTGGTAAATTACAATGTAGTTTCTCAGTGAGGGAGGGGCTTATCACGATATCAGCTGGCGTCCGATTTCAGAAAACACAACGGGGCAGAGGGTATCCTCATTGTTCTGTAGTGTTAGCTACTCAGACATTTTGAAACAGAGAGCATCTGGGGTGGGGTTGGGGGTTGGGGGTATTTTTTTCTGTACAGTCCTGTGCTAACATCAACTGTGAGCATTACATGTTTTTCAAGCAATTAACACTGTAAGGAAATCACCATTTAATTTGACCGAGGGGGTGCCGGCACAGTCACTT